ATGTGGATAAAATAAACAGTAATTTGCTTTTCACATGATTTGATAAACGAATTAAAGGAGAATTATGGGGAGAGTGAAATACACTCATCCCCATAATCAGAGTCGACGTGTGACACTGAGGCTATATTGGCTCTATTGATCGAGAATTAAGCGATCAAATACCGCTGATCACTCAGTTCCCGATCATCTCTCTGCAGAGAGTGGTGACTATCAGTCACCACTCCCCGCAGGGATTCCCCCCTTCCCTCTCCATTCCTCCAGCACTGACTGGAGGAAAAGACACAGAGAGGCAGAGCCAACTGTCAATCAGGCAGTGGGGTGTATCCCGAAAATATTGTCAGTATCCGTCCCAGCTGCAGCACGGCTCTGCACTGTCAGCATATAGTGAGCAATAGCCCGCGATATACTGAGTTTTGGGTCACAGGAGGACATTAGTATATGTCCTCCTGTGACCTTAAAGAGAACTATGGTAAAATAAATGTTGGGCCTTTTAATTAGCTCTTTTAATTATTCACACAATTTATTGTAAGAAGATTCTTAACTCTTTTTCAGCCTTAAAAAGAAAGGAAGTTGCACTCTGAACTTCTTGCTGCCATGTACGTTATCCCATCACTGGATCAAAGACAATCCACCCAAGTTCCTCTCGCAGCGTTTCACTTACAAAGAGCTCTATAAAAAAGCTCATTGTGAGTGAAACGCCTTAGCTGAAGGAACTTGGGTGGATTGTCGTTACATAGTATTTGAGGTTGAATAAAGACACAGGTCTATCAAATTCAACCTTTCTTTGTCTGTGTTTGTTGTGTGTGCATGTCTATATAGGAGTCCCTTTATGGTCATAGTTTTTAAGAGTACCTGTACTTTACGGTCTCTTAGGAAGGTATCTAATTGATCCAGTTGTGGGATAAAGTAAATGGTGGCAAGATGTTCTGAGAGCGGCTTCCTTTCTCTTTGTGTGGTATATGGGGCTGGATTGAGCTGTGGTGACACCCAATGCTGAGTGATCTGAGAATACAAACTTGGAGCGGAGCAGTGGGATATTTAGTACTTACCATACAGTTCAAATATATGTATATTTCAACAGTATATCATTATTTTACCTGGAAATCCGATATAATGATTATTTAAGTGCTGCATTATTCATTAGGTGATTATTATGACCACTTGATATAAAAAAAACATGGTAGTATTGATCACTATGACACTCAGTTTCACATACAAGGATGTCATTTTCTTTTGTAAATAATGTTATGTGTACTTACATTTTATCAATACAGTGTTCACTATCACCTCTATTTGTATTGCGATAGACTGTACATGTTTGTTACTTATGCAAGACTTTAATTTCTGAGTTACAAAAGGTATTTTCTCTTCATTTATATGCCACTTTAAAGACATCAGCCCATATTTCAATAAAGAAATGGAAGTGACAGATTTGTACATGGATTTGTAACAAACAACATTTAACCCAGCCGCCCGTGTAACATGAATTGTTATTGTAGATAAATCCGCAGGGAAAGTACTGATAAATTAGCAGTTAAAATTGACAAGTGACAAAACATCATTTGTCTTCTTTCAACAGTGAAGGTGATATCTGTGCATTTCAAATAATGCCTTTCCCTGCGAGCCAAACTGCGAAAATAACAGGCAACGGTTGTGCAAACGTGCTATTCCTCACAAATCCCTTTTTTATAACAGCCTTGCAGCGCACCAGGCGATTATTCCCCATTGCTTTAAAACTGAAGGTTTTTTTTTTTTTTTGTTTTTTTTTACTGTATATGAATTACTGGCTCTACAGCTCTATGGATTTACTGTAGGGCAATCCCCAGCATGTAGCAAGGTTCCAGTGTGTACCTTTCGTGCAGCCCCACATGCGTGCCTACTAAATGTCTTTCTGAATAAAACAAACAATTTGTTAAGTCTTTACTGGGAGCATTCCAGACCTGATGACATTTCAGCACGAGATCTCAGTAGAATACTATTTAATCCTTATGAAAGAAGATTTGGTATTACAAGCATACATAGAGGTAAAAGGTTCCATACTTTCCAGTCCCACTGAGAGATCTAGGGTTGCTACTGGAATGTTCAAGATCATGTATGGTGTATTCTAAGCAGACAGCCAGTGCCTGCTGCTTGTCTGCATATATGCTGTGTGATGTAGGGAACAAACTTGAAAGCACATGTAAGGCAAAATTTAATAAACACACATATAAAATACATGCATATTTTCCCATGATTTAGCCCTTTAATGAACCTTTAAGTGCAGACAAATAGCTGGTTATCTGCCTGAAATGCACTCAGCTGTTTAGTATTTTTGTGGACTGAACGGTGTCAGCACTGCCCATTGTCTTTTGCTAAGCTACTCCACCACTCCCACATATCCACATCATAGTGACTAACTGATTTATAGTCCAGGATAAGAACAGAGGGGGCTAGATAATCTCTTAAAGATAACACAGACAGAGCACACAGGACAGTTGTCACAGTTTGACTGATGGCAGAAGCAGCATATCGCTCCTCTGCCCTCAGTACCCGCCCCCCACAACCAGGAAGTTCGGGGAATGGAGGACATCTTCCCTGACCCGGTGGAGCACACAAAGAACCACAGGTAAGTGTCGGGGGTAACAGGAGTTGCAGAAAAGTACTGGGCGTTTTTTTTACCTTAATGCAGAGAATGCCTTAAAATAAAAAAAAATGCCCTGCCTTTAGTACTACTTTAACAGACCAAAAAGAGAGCAAATAAGTAAAGTTCATTGTTAGGGTTAACATACCCTTTAACTAAGAACGAGATGACAGCTAGCAGAAATTATGTTCATTGACTTAGTTTTGAAAGATAGCAGCTTTATTGAATAAGACCAATATCATTATCAAATAACATTCATAGCAGGCTGAAATCATCTTTCTCTAATCACATTATCGCTACAAGAGGAAGAACAGTTACATTTTTGTCAGAAGTATGATGGTTAAAAGAGCTATTTTATAGATATGTTCAGGGCTTGAAAAATGTTAGGATGTCTCACCAGTCAGTCAAAAATGTCACCAGTCAGCATGACCGGACTATAGTCTTGCAATTCGGGTTAACATTTTTTAGGGACAGACAGAGCTTTCTTTAGGTGGTATTTAATCACCACTGGGGTTTTTTATTTTTTACTATATAAAATGGAAAAATGTACCGTAAACTTTTTTAAAAAAAAATGTTTTCCCTACATTATGTTAGAAAACATTTATTCTTACCCATATATTTGGTAAAATATAAAATACGGGGTCACGTCGGGTAAATAGACACCAAACATGTCAAGCCCTAAAATTGTGTGCGCCCGCAGAAACGCAAAAATCTACCACAACTAAAATTGGCCATGGCGACGCTTTAAACACTTTTACTGCTCATCAGTTTAGTGTTATCAGTGATTAATGGCACTAAAATTATTGCTCACACTCCGACGTTCGTGGTGATATGTAACATGTGTGGCACAATAGGCACAACCGTTGTTTTTGCACGTAGGATTCATGCACCCGACGCATGTTTGCATGTGTATGTGGGGGGTGGGGGACTTTAAAAAAGATTGTGTTTTTTTATTTTTTTATGCTTTAATTTTTGTATTCTTTTTTTATTTTTTTTACACTTCGCTTTATTGCTATCACATGGGAGGCTAAGATCCCCCTATGTGATAGCCAATTTACATAACAGCTACTCTTGGAGACATCAAGGGTCTCGAGACCGGCAACGGCAGTGACAGCTGCTGCTAGTACAAGCGATCTCTAGAGATGCCCGATCGCTTGAATGTAAAGCTGCCGTTTAATTACAACGGCCGGCCGGGAAGCTACTCGTCCAGCTCTGGCGTCCTCTCGTCACACACGAGAGGACGCGCTGATTTTTTCAAGACCTGGATATGTTGTTTGAGTTTGTGTGCTTATTAGGGGTTAAGTATTCACCAATGAGACTGACATAATTTCAAGGTTCTTCCGATTTCTTCCTAAATTGGTTAATGATTTGTGAGACACGTGAAGCCTAATAGACACATTCCGCAATTACTCAACTTTTTTGGCACATTATACCACCTAACATAAGAATAGAGCATTCTTATGTATCCAATGTGTTAGTTTTATAGATAAACATATATATGTTTCTCTTACCTGTTTTGGGGCTATTTTAACAAAAGACATTTGACCATTGGTCAGCAGGGCAAGGGGGCCACCAAGAGACTTTCATGTGGTAGACTTCCAGAATGCCAAGACATCCTTGTATCAATGAATGGAGTGTTGATTTTCCTTTTGGGAGATAAACCCTAAATATGAAGCAGAAAAAAATATGTATAATGTTTATCTGTAATCTGATTTACTAAGGGACATAAACCTCTACAACAGAGGAGAGAGAAAAAGAAAGAACATGAATAAGAAAATGTTTTATTCTACATAGGTCATCTTCAAGCGTGGTAGAATGAACTTTGCCCAGGACCCCCTGGTTTTTTGTTTTTTTTCCCTTTTTTTTTCCCGTTCAAAACGTTTTTTATTGGTTTTAAGTGCATTAAGAAGTTATCACATGTACATATGCAATGCCGGGCTTGGGAACATGACATCTAGTATGCACAGTAAAAAGAAAGGTATCGTGAAAAAAGTCTAAGAAATCATCAAGTAGTCAATGTAACTACAAGCAACACTTTAGCATGGATCTTGTGTCAAAGATGCAGAAAAATTGTTTGAGTTGTCTGGTTCTTAAGGGGAGGGGGAAGAAGGGTAAGGCATAGAGGTAAGGGAGGAAAGTTGGCATGGTAGGAAGAAAGAAAGAAGGAAAAAGTGAGGAAGGGGGAGAAATAAGGATGAGAAAAATATGTGGGAGATGGAGGACCCACTGTTTTAATCAACCTTATCTAATGTTACTTAATCATGTATGGCTAACAGGATTTATTGCATATTGATAATTGTGACAGAATAAAGGTTTGGGGTACATTAAACCGTGCAGATTAAAAACGAAGATCATTTATACATACTGTCTTTTTTTGTAGGTGAAACCTCTTCTTGAAACCTAAGGAGCCATCCTTTTAATGAACCATGAAGCTCTATGGGCTTCTTGCCGGGATTGTGCTGGTAATGGTGTCTTTGGTCTATGCAGTTAGCTTTCCTGAAGACGATGAACCTATCAACATTGTAGATTACCACTGTAAGTAAATGTTTACTTATGTTAAAACGAATAGGTTGCCTGTACAAGTAAATTATTTTAGAATATAAGCCACTTTCTGATTGCTTATGGGTTCCTTTCATGCCATTGGTTGCAATCAGTGATTAATAGGTGTAATCTATAATCTATATACCTGTATATAGTCTATATGAGGGATCACTTAGTTTCATTTATGTCCACTCTAGCGTTACTAAAAGTTGATGCCCTAATAGAGCATATGTCATTTGAGAGAGATGCGAGTCACATTTGCTGACATTGGTCATATTTTATTCATTTATATTCAAGGCGCTGCAACAGGGATTTAGTTCAAACCCTTCTACACCTAGTATATACAGCTAATCAATCCTGTATATTGATTCCTGAGCTGTGTAATCCAAAGTGATGGTGTATCCCATTTTAACTTGCAGATTCAAGGCAATATCCAGTATTTAGAGGACGCCCTTCAGGCAATGAATCACAGCACAGCTTGGACTTTCAACTGATGTTAAAAATTCGAGACACACTTTATGTTGCTGGAAGGTAATTTCCTTTAATCTCTTTATTTAAATTGGACTTGCATTTTGATTTTAGCTATTCGTTTTTAACACACATGAAAAAATCTTCTGTTTAAATGAAAACAGTGATCTCTATCAGTATTTTGTTTTTCATGCTTAGAAAGTAATGGAATGGTAATAAAGATCTACCAAGTCACACTGAGCTGCCATGTGATACACTGTGTTCCAGCTTGCCTCACTAGCTTTTACGATAAAAAAGCTTATCGCAAGAGTGACAAGAAAGGGAAGATTTATAGATTGTAACTTTTTTGATACTGTTTAAGACGCTTTAATAAAACATGCAACAATAGCATGAATAAACCAGAGCTACAGTCAGGGCTATATCATATTGAAAATATGCCATATGCTTATGAGGTTGCTAAGCTTTGGGGTAGCATAAAAATGTTTCACAGTTAATGTTTAATTTTATTTTGTGTTTCTAATAGCTATGACATGGGAGTGATTTTGTAGCAGACACAGAATTGCTATGCTTTGAGGTTTATTTTCTAGGAGGAATTAAGTTGCAGTCAATAGAAGGTCTGTTTTGCAGTGATTCCAGCAATCTGAGAAATTTACATTTTGCAGTGAGTGCAGCTTGAATTACTACCTGTGTTATCCAATGAGCTGCTAGTGATCATGACACACCAGCAATTTGTAGCTGTATAGATATGTACTATAGTCGGCTACAGCAGAAACTCTGTAGTAGGCTACAAATATCCAGAGAATGTACTCAGAGAGTGTACTAGCAGCGTTTGGGTTTCATGGCAGCGCATGTACCAGTGCAGTACAATGTGTGTGGGTGCTGGATTGCATTGCTTTTACTTGCAGCTGAAGGATCTGGGACTAGGGGAGTGTGAGTTAGCAGCGTGAACTGCATTTTGAACTGTAATGGAACAGCATCAACGATATATTTTATGGGGGGTACTACGGAGTGTCTGCATTCTAAGGATAACAGACATTAAAGTGCCATTCATTTTGAATACCACCCCAACACACTAGCACACCACACTTCAGTGCATGTGCATTGTAACACATTACAACACACAGATATGAATGATCAATGTGTTTTGAAGTGTGTTAAAAATGCTATGCATGATTTTAGGTGAGTTGCAACCCATTTAAATTGAATAGGCTTTATAAAGCATAGGACAACACATTGGTGTGAACCGGATCTTAGAGTACCTGTATATCTCACATACTGCCCTTATACACTATTATCAGGTGGCTGGTTCATTATAAATATATTCTCATGGGAGAGAATATATTTTCACAAAAGAGTCACAAAAGTTACATGATTGGCATGTTTTATTGGACAAGGTCATCACAGAGTAGCATCTAGAATATTGGTTGTACAATTTCCCCTCATTGCTTATCGGATGTTGATTGGCAATGGTTATTTCTTGCCTACACATTATTCTTTTGATGTAATTGACTATGATTTGCAGTTCTTATCTTTGTTCTTGTGTCTTCAAGCTGCACCCCCTCAAATTATTATCTGCCATTATGTTTCCTAAATCAAAGGATATTTGTGAACTGCTAGTGATTAAAAATACAAGTGTCATTTGCTGCTCTACCAATAAATGAATGACAGTAGTTCTTGCAGCAATCTACATGTACATGTTCAGTCCTTTTGTTCATTTTCTAAGCTAGACTAAACAAATGGCTGCTTCTGTGTGATTGGTGGTAATTATTTGCTTTTCTACAGTTTCTATAAGTGAGTTTCACTGTGAATAGTCAGGTATGCATACAGTGTTAATTGTATTCCTTTTATTAAACTTTGAACTGTTTCTGAAAAGTTAGCACATTAGGCAGTATGTTTTCTTATAAATAATATGGTGAAGTATTATATCCAAGCCTGAATATCTCTTGGGTAAAACCCGATGCTCTCTTTTGTTGGAAAGACATGCCTAAGAACAATGAGTAAAGAGTCTCTGTAGATGGACGTGTTTAAGAGCTCACTAAGACAACGATTGTCCACCTTTAAAAACACATGGAAAGAAAGCTAAATTGCTCTGTCAGAAGCAAAAGACAACTGAAAGTGATAAGCTTTTAAAAACATGGAAAATGTAACCCAGCAGTAACCTCCTTCACTCAGACAAAGAAATTTGTCTGGACTGCAGAACATATACATGGTCTGTCAAGGTCCGTAAAAACACACTTGTCATGCTACGCATGGATAAATCTCAGGCCAGCTCTCCATTTCCTAAAGTGTCTTGTTTCTTCATCATCCACAGAGATCAAGTTTATGCCGTTAATTTAAATGAAGTGCACAAGACTGAAATTACACCAAGCAGAGTAAGTGAGCCTGTTACAGGTGTGCCGTCAAATATGGGTTTGACTCTTTAAAAGCAAAGGAAAACAGACAATGCCATTTACATTTATCTTTTGCTTGTTTTGCTTCTTCAGAAGTTGACGTGGAGATCGGGTCAAGCAGACCGAAAGAATTGTGCAATGAAAGGCAAACACAAGGTATTTTCCAGACTAACCTATTGAAGGCTAGACATCAAAAGATGATGTTGATAGAGAGAGGAAGCTTAAGACTTCTAACGTTTCATGTTTTTGTGATTCAGGACGACTGCCATAACTACATCAAGGTTTTTGTTCCAAGAAATGATGAGATGGTCTTTGTCTGTGGTACAAACGCTTTCAATCCCATGTGCAGATATTACAGGGTAAGGGATTAGTCTTTATCTTTTATGTTCCCTAATACACATTATTCTTCATGTGCACAGCAGGTATATTGTTCCAGATCAATGCAGAATTGATGTTAGAGCCACTTTGGGAATTCTTTAGACATACCTGTTTACAAAGCAATAGAAGCCCTAACTATCCTGGTAGTACTTCTATCTCTTGCAGTATACATGTGGATTGTGTGGTTATTTTTGGCTACTAGGGTTCTCCTTATGGAGAAAGCACAAGTCATATAGTAAGAATATGTTGTGCTGACTACAAGGGATAATTTGTGAATTATTCTTTTCTTTCAAGAGCTATATGTGCATAGCACCTTCTTAACTCCAAAGTGCACAGAGATGGTGTCCACCTCTGATTAAACTAAATCTAGATCATAAAATATTTGTATCTAATAGGTAGACCTGCAGTCATTATAAATCAACTCAGTACATTAAAAGATAAAAATGTATTCTATGTACAAAATAAAGTTTTACAATAAGTATGCATCGGTTAAGGTAACGTAAATATTCTCATCTGATTTGTCTTCTTCAGCTCATTGTAATGTTTTGTTGCTAAATTTTAAATGGTTAACCTTTGCAGTTAAGTACTTTGGAATATGATGGGGAAGAAATTAGTGGCTTGGCAAGATGCCCATTTGATGCCAGACAAACCAATGTGGCTCTCTTTGCTGGTAAGAACCATTGGCTTAATAAATGGTATGATATGTGCTTGTGTAAATTGTTACAGTGTAGCAAATTCCTATTATAATTATGCTGTAATGAATTGAATGTAGACTTGTCTACTAATAAGTGTTTCAGCTCATATAGCCAAGATTTCGTTTTCTTGTGTATTGCTTATGTGTATTTTTACAGCACTATTACAATTACAACACGTACTAGTGCATTCAGCACTCAGAATATTTATCCTTCAGTTGGCAAACTTTCATATTAGGACCTGCTTTGCATTGCAACAACTTTCATATTAGGATCTGCTTTGCATTGCAACAAGTCCCACCCACATTTGCTTGGAAGTGGGCTGAGCTCTTCAAAGTGGGTGTGGCTTTTGTTTTACCAATATGACCTAATTTCACTTTAAAAAATCAGATTTAGCTAACTATCACTGTAATTGTTTGTCCATCACAATCGGTCTGTGCATATATATCAGTACATATCTCTGACATTCTATGTCCATCAATTTCTGTCACTCTACTTCCTTCAGTGCCTCTCAGTCTGTGTAAGTTTTGTTTTTATAGAATAATATACCATTTGCTAAGAACTACTAATGAAATCATTGATATTATTTTTGAGAACAATGCATTCTTGTTCTCAAAACTAACCCTAAAAGAACTCAAATAGCTGGTGATGCATATAGGACTATGAGAGTCCCTCCACTATACAAAATAATTCACCAGCTGTGTCAACATTATTATATATTATTATTAATATAGTTAATAATATAGCCAAGGCAACAGGTACCAAAGCTCCCAATGGATTCACACTCATTTATACATTATCAGGTTCTGCAGGGACCATAGAGTTGGGATTCTCTTCAGTACTATAGATATTTCCAACGTGCAGAAGGTGAATTGAAGCCACTATAGTTACAGATTTTATTAGTTGTAGGAATTCACACTTTAAAGCACCATAGCTTCTTTAATATATCCAGGCAAAACGAATATATAGCTCTAGCCCAGGGGTAGGCGACCCTGTCACTCCAGCTGTGTTAAGGCTACAACTGCCATCATGCTTCTGTGAGTTATGCCCATGGTTGTCAGTCTTTCACTGTCTCATGGGACTAGTAATTCCACAACAGCTGGAGTGTTGAGGTTGTCTACTCCTGATCTAACCTTTCATCTATCCCTTTCCTTTGCTGTCCTGTAAGAGCTATACTTCGGTCAATATTCCTGTCAATTCATAAGGCTGTTTTACTGAGAAATATGCTAAAGGATCTGTCTCTCTCCATCTGAGTATTTCCATGTCTGCTTGTTTCCAAACACATAACTGAAGGCATGTGCTGTATAAAAATCATGGTTTTCAGGTCTGCTGACATTGAATCCGCTAGATATGAGGAGCAAAGTAGCAGGCAGACTTTATTTTTTATCACAAAAGGTGCAATAATATTTTAATGAACATTTCTTTCTTCATTAAATGCATTTATAGAACTGAGAAGGGATATGAACTTCATGGAGATTCAAGAAATTAGCTTGAGAAAGACAGGAGGTGCTGCTAGAGTCATGAGTAGCCTATGCTGTACTGTTTTGTTAAGTAAATGTGAACCACAAATTCCTCAAACCAGACCTTACTGAACATTTTCTAGCACAAGTTGTTTACTGTATGATTTATATAATAATTCTCCTATAATGTTTTTGTAATTTTATTTCTGCTGAACAAAAAATGTTTATTTTTTTTTCTTTTTATACAATCCAAGTTCAAGTACTACTCATAGTTGGTTCAGGAACATGCTTTATGTAAATCATCAATTGAAGATGATTATTTGTTTATTACACTACAATGCTTTATTTTCAACCCCCTCATCTCGCCAGTTTTGCTCTTTATTTTTCTCTTAGATGGGAAGTTGTACTCGGCTACCATGGCAGACTTCCAAGCCAGTGACGCCGTGATCTATCGGAGCATGGGGGATGGATTTGCTCTGAGGACAATTAAATATGACTCCAAGTGGCTAAAAGGTACTCAAGACCCGGCAGTTATTAATGACATAGAGATCAGACACCTACTTGATATGGGAATGAAGCGTGACTCAGTTTAATAGTATTTCTGAGAAATATGATGCATATTAACTACCCTGGATCCTTTTAGGCATGACACAGCTGTATGATGAAACTAAATGTTGCATGCCGATACATCAAGGCCTTTGCTCTAAATGCATATTTTTTCCTTTTTTGCAAAATGGTTCATGATTGATTCTACCTTTAAAAAAAAAAAAAAGCTCTAATGTAAATCCTTTGAGGCCCTTTTACACTCCATTAGACAGCATTAAAGGCTGCTAAATCAATTAAGCTGGAATCCACTCATATTTCTACATCAGGTCAGGAATAAGTAATCTTGCAGGGGCTCATGATAACTTTTTACATTCAAGATGCGTTTTGCGTTTCTCTTGCGGTTTATATAATATATGTATTTCTCCCTCTCCAGAGCCGCATTTTCTGCACGCGATAGAGTACGGCAGCTACATTTACTTCTTTTTCCGGGAGATTGCTGTGGAGCATAATAATTTGGGCAAGGTAAGCGTTAAACTGAGGATGTTCTAATGCGTGAAATGGAGCTAGTGATTGTGGCATGTAAGGGAATCGCATCCTGTATTTTTTATGTTTTGTTATTATTGTTTGTTTTAAAGATAAACTTCAGGCAGACATCTAAACACACAGTTCATACACATGTTTTTGAACATTTTTTTCCTACAGAATAGTTTGAATTCTATTGTGCCACTGTTGTGATCTAGGCACCCCTGTCAGACAGAACAATCAGGTCCTGGACCTCACTGCAGGATACACTGCAGTTAACTAACAAAACCTGGTATGAACATACCCTAGCCTATGACTGGACAATAAAGATCGCAGTGCACTAATGGGATCATCACTGGTTAAATGGGCAATACTATGCATTGCAGGGGAGAATGATTGGCTCACTATTCTGTCTACATAGCAAAATAGATTCATTTAATTATATATTTAAAGTTGTATCACATCCCCTGCTGCTCCTTGCACTACAGTAGTTTGAGGAGTGGGTTGTGATGATAGAGCTATAGCATAAATGGCTATAGTGTATGAAGGTGACAGAATACAGGGTAACCAGCCACTTTGTGCACAGACTCTAAAAGGGTATAATCTAGAATGGTATCCAGCCTGTGACACAGATTTGTACACATTCGCCTGTACTAGACACAATAAAGCAAAGCTTATTTCTGCATTTTGAGGTTAAGCAACCTTCCAGTTTGCAAATACTAAGAATCTGCCCTGGTTCTTATAACAAGCTAGCACTTGATAAATCTCTCTGCTATTATGAAATTATCCATGAGCCTTGGGGCTGTTCATTTTCATCTGGTTCTTAACCACAGTTTCTGTTAAATTGATATTTGCTTCAATCTTTTCTATAATTAATCTTCAAAGCTGGACTTTACATGACCGAAAAGACTGATGTTCATTGTACAGCCCAGGTGTGTTACAGTTTGCTAAGTCTAAACAGAGCAAAATAAATAATATTACTAATAATACATGGATTTTTCCAAGAGCAAAATGGCTGGCAGGATTCTGCATGACCCTGATTAGGAAACCACTTTATTTTTTGGCATGGATTAAATGTATAAATATGTTTATATTTCAACAGAGGTTCCATTGTGCCTCCCAAATGTTAAATATTTAAATGACACAAATGCAGTTTATGATACTTTGGCTGCATTATAGACATTCCACTGTAAATTATTCAACCGTTTACGCATGGTTAATTAAAGACTTCACAAGAGGTGGGGGATCTGTGTGAATGTTATGGGCTTTGCTCAGCGGTGCATTAAAATGGACATCAGGCTGTAGTTAAATACTGTCTGCTTTCTTTTAGTAACCAATTCAGATAAACTAGAGCTATTGCTTAAACCCAACTAATGCTATTGCCCAAAAACTGGGAAGAGAAAGACTTACACATGTCTTTATTATCGATTTTGGCAGTGTAAACTTTATTTAACTAGTATTAGGGTTTACAAAAATTTGCCTTGCCCCACAAGAACAAAAGGAGAATTTCAGGTCTAGTTTGTACGGTTATGTAATTCTAAAAAAAAAAATTCTCCCACTATATTTTAGGACCTGTTGAGATGTCTGCGATTTCTTGCACACAAAGTGCAAGGAGAGTCCGGTACCATTGTTTTCAATGCTAGTGTTCTCATGAATGTGTTTTTAAAAGTAAAGTTTGCTGCAGGTTAGCTACATTCCACCAAGCTCTTCTTCAATAAAAGTACAATGAAAAATGAATATATAGATTTAAAAGCAACTAGCTGTGATTGTATAGTGGTTAGTGCTCTGCGTTGTGGCTACAGCAACCCCGGTTCGAAACCTGGGTCTTGGTAGTTGTGCTTGCAACATTACTCTCTTTAGAGAATAAGCTCACACAAGCAGAACCCTCCTGTATTGAATTGTATTGTAACTGTACTTCCTCCTTTTATTTTGTGAAGCACTGTGCAGACTTTTGGTGATATATATACCCTGTATAATAATAATTTTTAAACTAACATACGCGCATTCGTTTTCGCAAAATGTTTTCCCCAAGGAAAAAAAGGAGAAGAGTTCTCCATAAGAATAGAGAAAGTGTCCAAAGTGACCAATTAGATAATGCCTTTATTTATATATTTCTAGGCGAAAACCTTTTTCAGTTTTGTATAGAGTGGGGAAGGGTTAGACCCTCTGTCAAATTTTTTATTGTTGTCTGTGTGCCATTAAGGAGATGCAGTCCTCTGTTTGTGCTGGTGACCATTATCACCATTGGGGAAAAGGCCAACATTTTAGAAAACACCTGGCAGGAATTGTAACTTTTCCCTCTATTCAAAACTAAAAAAATTAAATAAAAAAAAAGGCTATACATATGCTATAATTTTTCAGAGAATAAGATATGAATCCTGGTTGGTTACTGTGGGTGGGTCTCTACCTATTTTCTGTTCAAATTAATCCTGTCGTATTATTCTCTGAAAATATAGCTTAAAAAGGATCCTTATAACACATGCTACTTCTGAAAAGGTTGCCATTAGCCCTTGGTTTAAGATAATTATACAAGAGGGACTTTCTTACTGTATATGTGTATGCACAAAGGCCAAATCAGCACATGGTTATCATATACTTGGACTAGCTGCGGATCTTTGTTCAGTGCCAGACCAGGACAGTGTATGTATATCTCTACCAACAATGTTAAGCCCTAAAACATGCACCCTCAAATAGATTGAAAACAGAGAGGGGTAGAGAGCATTCTCTTATTTCTAAAAGGAACAACCTTAACTGGTCAGTATTATGTTTTAAAGAGAAGTCAATCAAGCATTTGATTTACCACTTAAAGAGAATTGCAGTTTGCCCATTTAGGACAACTAACATGTTCCCTTCACATCTACTTTTGAAGACAATCCAGTTGTTATAAAATGGTCCAGTAGTTTCAAAGTAGTGGGAGACTGCTATTATTAGAGCAACAACCTAAATTATTGTTTTCTTGAATTTAAAGTGAAAATCTTATTCAAAGTCTTATAGGAACTATTCCTTGTTGATGACCACTTCCATTTTCTAACAATGCTTTTTGCTTTTGTTGCCATTTACAGGCTGTACATTCCCGTGTTGCCCGTATATGTAAAAACGACCTAGGTGGATCGCAGAGAGTCCTGGAGAAACACTGGACATCATTTGTAAAGGCAAGACTCAACTGCTCTGTTCCAGGGGATTCTTTCTTCTACTTTGATGTTCTGCAGTCTATAACTGACATAATAGAAATCAATGGAATTCCCACTGTTGTCGGAGTGTTTACTACACAGCTTAATAGGTAAAGAGAGGAATAATCTGACATCAAACTCAGACCTTCACTTTCGTCTTGGCTTTACAATTGCTTCTATTGTATTGTGAACACTTGAAAGATTTATTCCTCTCCTTTTCTGCTCTTTTAGTATACCAGGTTCAGCAGTTTGTGCTTTTACGATGGATGACATTGAGAAATCATTCAGAGGAAGATTTAAAGAACAAAAGACTCCAGACTCTGTTTGGACAGCTGTATCTGAAGACAAAGTACCAAAACCAAGGTATAGGGGGTTTTTTTTTTTTTTAAAGCAGCACTTTAAATACAGGCGTGTTCCATTCCATGAATTAATGAAGCATTGGCTTTTAAAGTCATAAAGAATTGTGCTAAAGGTTTTATTGTGGTCGTATTTCATCTTTGTTTTAGGCCTGGTTGCTGTGCAAGACATGGCCATGCTGAAGATTATAGGTCTTCCACTGATTTTCCAGATGACACTCTGGCTTTTATCAAGTCTCATCCCTTGATGGACTCTGCAGTCCCATCTATCAGCGAAGAGCCTTGGTTCACAAAAACCCGTGTCAGGTATGATATCAGTCACCAATCTCATTTTGGATACCTAGCAATGTTTTTAAGTAGTGGAGAGTATAAAAAGATGACCATCGCTGGTCTGGTGGCAACTTAAAATTTTGGATTTACCCTCACGTTCACTACCAGTGACATTAGTGATCAAGATAATTAGAGAAAGGGAATCTCCCTAAAAGAGATACAGACAGAAATGAAACCAAACTGGGGTTCCAGCTCACCACCCTATCCAATTCTAAAAAAAACGTTTGGCTTACTTTAGAACTATGCTTTAAGAAAATTCCTATAAATATTAAAATTTGGCAAAGCACCTATTTTCTAATGACTTTTGTAAAGGCTACTGCTCATACTTTAGCAATTTCACTATTTTAAAGGCCAGTGTCTCATCTTCAAGCTTGTGAAAACACTGACATTTCATATGCCCCTTACTTCCAGCCTAAGAGCACCTGACTAAGTTGGTTCAAAATCAAAATCTATTCAAAACTATAACAAAAAAAAATGGCTATACATATGCTATACTTTTTCAGAGAATAAGATATGATTCCTGGTTGGTTGCAGTGGGTGGGTCTCTACCTATTTTCTGTTCAAATAAATCCTATCATATTATTTTCTAAAAATATTATTATTATTATACAGGATTTATATAGCGGAGGAAGATTTAACATAGCTTAGAAAGGGTCCATATAAAACATAGGCAGGGCTGGAATAATGGGCCAGGTGTGGAACCCCTTGGCAGGGACGAATAATGTCCAAAAAGTGCAGTACAAAAGTATAATCCAATCGGGTAGTCAGGTCCAGTTCCGGGTCGTGGCGGGCAGCAGGAATCGTAGTCGAAGGGTCAAGCAAAAGGGTCGGTAGCCGCGAAGTCAGATCAAACAACAGGTTCACAGGAGGGAGCTGGGTGTTCACCATGAGGTAGAATAACTCAGCAATGAGTCAAGGCTCTGACCAGGTTTAAATACACAGGGAACCCAGGACCGCCCCCTGGTTGCCAGGGCAACCAGGAAGCTTCCCCTGTCAGAGTCTAATCACAAGGCTGAGGGCAAGTGGTGAAGGCTGAAGTCCTCCACCAGCCTGAGTAGCACCTGTGGCTTGGAATGGCGCAGGCGCACTACGCGACTTGCGCACGCGCACTGGCCACACCAGTGCCTGATGCCCTGCTAGGGGGAGGAGGAGCTACCTGTGCCTGATGCCCGCACCTGCAAGGACAAGGAACGGCCCCCCTGGGTCCCTGACACACACCCTGGGTCCCTGACACACATGCTACTTCTGAAAAGGTTGCCATTAGCCCAGGCTAAAAATAATTATACAAGAGCGACTTTCTTACTGTACATGTGTATGCACAAAGCCAAATCAGCACATGGTTATCATATACTTGGACTAGCTGTGGATCTTTATTCAGTGTCAGACCAGGACAGTGTATGTATATGTCTACCAACAATGTTAAGCCCTAAAACATGCACACTCAAATAGATTGAAAACAGAGAGGGGTAGAGAGCATTCTCTTACTATTTCTTAAGGAACAACCTTAACTGGTCAGTATTATGTTTTAAAGAGAAGTCAACCAAGGATTTGATTTAACGCTCAAAAAGAATATTGCACTTTGCCCATTTAGGACAACTAACAAGTTTCCTTCACATCCAAGCTCTTGCAGTGTTCATTCTTGCCTTCTTGAGCATCCAATTAGCATGGTCAGAGAGGAGCTATCAGACCTGGGAATTGGTCATTGTGGCACTGGGTTTGTATTTCACAGAGCTCCATGGGAGTAAGCAGGGCGGGGGGAGAGCTTGGAGAAGGTAACAGCATTGGTGGGGCTCAGCTATTAAACTATCCTGTTATTTTACCTTAAAGGAGAACTATGGGGTCAGGGCTTTTCCCCCTAGTTCGTTCTCCTTAGGGTAACGGGAGGACACAAACTAGCGTCCTCCCGTTACCCTAAGCTCAGTATACCGCGAACTACAGCTCGCGGTATACCGAGACACCGCAGCCGGAGCGGATCCCGACATAGATGTCGAGCTCCGCCCAGCTGCGTGAGTGACTATAAATTTATAGTTATAAGACACACAGATAGCAACAAGGTTTTGGCACAATACAATGACTCTCTTGCCAAGTCAAAATTTAAATGAAACTCTCGGAGGTGGGAAGTTCATGGGTGGGGACAGGAGCATGTTGGCTGTTGAACAGCAATAAAGTTTGAAGCTGATGTCAGTTGTATGCGGCACCTTGCTTACACTCGAGAGTTTGGTTTTGAGTGACGATGGCTCCCGGTCGGACCCACACTTAGCCCATACTGGAGAGCTGGGGACAGGCTGGAGCGGTGGACCAGTTTTATTATCATAAGTTAAAGTAGAACTATGGGGTTAGGGCTTTTCCCCATAGTTCTTCTTAGGGTAACGGGAGGACACAAACTAGCGTCCTCCCATCAAACTAAGCTCAGTATACAGCTTGTGGTATACTGAGATGCCGCAGTATATCGGGAGCTACAGCTCGCGGTATACTGAGACGCCTCAGCTGAAGCGGATCCTGACAATTATGTCTGGATCCGCCCAGCTGTGTGAGTGACAGCTGGCACTGCCTATCTAGAGGCAGAGCCAGCTGTACCCGCCCCCTCCCCCGTCCGTTCCGCCAGTCAGCGCTGGAGGATCGGAGCGGGGAGGGGGGAATCCAGCCCCTCCCCTGTCACGGCAGAGAGCCGTGACAGGATCGAGAGGTGAGCGAACGCCGGTATGTGTTCGCTCACCTCCCGATCTACTGAGCCGACCTGTGACAGTCTCATTGTCACAGGTCGGCTAGAACTATGAGGTGAGTGAAAAGCACTCACCTCATAGTTCTCCTTTAAATGGGAAAAAGCTCTGGCTTCCTTTAAACTATGAGATCCCCCTGTGTATTGTTACTTTTAGCCCTCTGGTAATGTGTATTAGAAAAGTCCACGACCAAACCAAACCTCCTATGGATGTTTATACATAAATGCATACATACAGTAATAAGCCATGAGCTCATCTAGTATATTTACATATTAATTAATTCCAGTAACCTAATCCGTCACAATAGTACAAAAAAATATTTTATCATTCCCTTCTTTTTATTTCAGGTACAGATTGACTGCTGTTGCAGTTGACCATCTCGCTGGCCCCTACCTTAACTACACAGTCATCTTTGTGGGCTCTGAAGCTGGGATTGTTCTAAAGATCTTGGCCAAGACTAATCCATTTTCTCTGAATGACAGTGTATTACTGGAAGAAATTGATGCTTACAACCGTGCAAAGTAAGCATTACCTTGTACAAAACAAATGTATTGATTTCACTTGCAAGTTGCTCTCCTATACAAATGCACGTTTTCAATCTGATTACTGCTTTGGCAATAAGAAGAAAATTGTGCTTTTAACTTAAAAATGCTTACCAAACATAAACCTGAATTAGTAAAGTTAGTAGGCTGTAATTGTAAGCATTTAGTAGATCATAAAAGATGATTTATAATTGGTTGCCATGACATGACAGAACATAGTACATAGCCAATATACAATTCTTGCTACCCATAGCAACCAGTTTCTCATGTTCTCAAAGGAGTATGGGAGAATTAAAGACCGACAGTTCAAGGCAATGAGACATTTTTATGCATGAGGTCCATTTACTTATATTTAAAAGAAAATTGTTTTGTTTTTTACACCTTTTGTATATAAATTAATGGCTCCATATCTATATTACTCCCGCAGATGTTATGGAGACACTGATGAGGACCGGAGAGTCTTGTCCTTGCAAATGGATAAAGACCACCACTCCCTATTTGTAGCCTTTTCAGGATGCATTGTCCGTCTGCCTCTTAGCCGCTGTGAGCGATATGGCTCATGCAAAAAGTACGTAAGGCTGTTGTAATTAAGTGGTTGCCACTTTTTGTTCCTGTCAAACCATAAATGTGCCTGACAAATGCTTTCTCATTCATTTACAGGTCTTGCATCAGTTCAAGAGATCCTTATTGTGGGTGGCTAAACCATGAAACCTGTGGCAGAGTGAAGCCTGGCATGTTGTAAGTGTAATCATCCTCTGTAACTGCTAAATGTCTTAATAGATTTCCAAACTGTTTTATTAGGATTATGCATTTCTTCTTTCTACAAGTATGACTACAGCGAGAATAAAATCATTTTTGTTTAGTGACAGAAATGACTGTGTATTTTTTATGGTATTTGTAACGTAATACTTAGGAGACAGAAAACATTAATCCTTGCGAGGATTGTAATATCTGCTTTGAATCCAGTTGGGAAGTGAAGTATTGCTCCTCTGGAGAATCCTATTAATTATCACAGAACAATTCTCCTGTACAAACAAGCATAAATTGGCTTTCTATGTATACACAATACATTTTGTCTTGTCGGAACTTGTGCCTTGGATGTATTTTTTTTATATACATGTAAAAAGAACACTGCTTGCTCTGGTAGTATTCTGCAGTAAATTTAATTTGTGTTTTTTCATTACGTAGTTTTGGGTATGAACAGGATGTGGAACATGGTAACACGGCACAGCTCGGAGACTGCCATGGTAAGGACCAACCCTTCACTAATCTCATTAGAGCCTTTTAATTTGTGCTTTGTAGAGTAGAATACAGAATGCACTCATAATGCGCATACCACCTTTCAGTCTTAAACTTAATTTTTTTCATGGGCTTAGCTGTCTTGCAGTTGATGAAAACAACATGTGAAATGTGTTTTTTTTATTTTGTATATTATTTTTGGGCTATGTGCAACTGCTTAAGGACATACCAGAAAAGAAACGGAAAATACATTTTATTTTTTGCTTTTTTGTTGAGATTTTATATAACTTTTTTTGTTTCCTTTAGTTTCTTTTACTGATGACCTGTTCCTTTAATTTTAGAAAAATTGCCTACTACAACTACACCAGATTACAAAATATTTGGCGATCCAACATCTGGTTAGTTTTATTAATTTTATCTAAAATTAACTGCCTTTTCTTTTGGTTCAGCATTTTCTGCTCTTATGCCCGACCCCACCCTACCCTTCCTCCCTTCCTTTCGCAGTTGGCCTCATTTTTGTGCTTCGACTTCATGCACTCACTAATTGCAAGGATGGATATCTGTCCTTTTTGTTTGTATTTTTTTTTTTTTTAATAAGATAAGTAATTCACCTATGTCTGGCCGCATGCTACCCAATTGCCCATTATTGATGGATGCGTCAAATCTTTTATTAAGTTTAATTAGTATGTGACATTTCCACAGCATGAAAGCCAGCCAGCTTTCATTATTACTCTTCATACATTTGTCAGGATCTGTTTCTCATCTATTGGTTATAGATGACGGTCTTATTATTCATACTACATCTTTATATTTAACTGTACGTTTACTGACGTGTGTATTTCTGAGCGTTATTTGTCCTGTTTTTTTAATGTAAAAGTATAACCTATTAAAGTCTATAAGTATATGCCCTAGTCTCAATGTATATGTTAAAAGAAGTGTGTAGTTTCCACTTTTTGGAAGAAGGGAAAATATCTATTTGCTAGTGTTAGGGGTTCCCCATGTAAGAACTCTAATTGGTCAGCTGATAATCTGGGGTTGTTAGAGCACTCAGAGCTGTTCAGTTCTCTTTGCCTCAAATAAATATAGTTGATTCCTGTCTCAGAACTCTGCAGTAGATGTATCTTCTTTCTTCTAAGTAAAAAAGTAAAAAATGCTGACTACCTTGATATGTTCCAGCTTCCTGAGAACGGTGTCCAATCAGAGCACAGTTGGGAAGCAAACTATCCCATTCTACAATACTATAGCACAGTTGAAAAGAAAGGTTAACATTAACCTTTAACTGTCTGCTTTCTACTGAAAGTAGAAAACCCCTTTATTCCTTATTTGACACAGCATTGGAATAGATATATAGAGATGTGTTTTGGAATACAACTTAATCAACATTTGTTTGCTACCACAGACATTGAAGTTCTTACTACTTCTGTAACCACAATGACAAGTAGTCCAGTCATTCTCCCTAAAGTGATTGGTTCCTGGAAACCCAGAATGACTGGCTCTCGGAAATCTGTTCAAGAAGATGACCCAAACTCATCCGATTATACTGATACATTAACAGGTGTCCCAGATGGTAAGGCCTTCAAGGGGAATGTTGTAGACTGAGTGGAAACATGCCACCTACAGATTACATTTATCTGTACATGACCGTAGTCTATTTTGTTTGCTTGATTTAAAAAAATATATCACTTTAGATGGGGTGGTCATGTTGTCAGCTTGTTAATAACAATGAACACTGTACAGTGATGAATGTAATTGCTGTTAGGATTTTGTGGTATGTTTCCACTCAGAAATGGCAGTGTATCTTTTATTTTTTAGTTTCTTTTATATTGAATGCATTTGTTAATGCATTTATGTTTTTTACACATTTCTTATTATTACATGTCATTATTGTTTGCTGTTTTGTTTTATTATTCCACATCATTATAATTTTTTTTCTTTTATTGGGTAGCATTACATAGCTATTAAGTTTAAGACATAGGGGTCTACTCACTAAGCTGCCGCAGGCAGCCGAGTGACTAACCGACCCCAAGCGAAGTGAGCCGAACGCTGTTCGGCTATTCACTTCAGGCTGGTATGGCTGATTCCAGCTGTATATTGGCTGAAATCAGCCGTACATCGGGTGGCTTCGTGTGACTTCGCTGTTCAGCATGCTCAGCATGCTCGGCCGACCCGAAGTGCAGAAGGAGTTCGACTCCTTCAAGTTCAACATCTGGATCAGCTAAGCCGAACCTCCGGCAGGCTACTCGCTGCTGTTCGGTCTATTCTCATAGATGCCGAACAGCAGTGAGCGGCATTCGGCTCGGCTGTTCTGCCCGGTCCCTCTGTGGAACCGGGCAGAATAGAAAAATAGTTTAAAAAGTAGAAAAAAAATTAGAAAACGATTGTGCGGAGCTAGCAGTAATAGCAAGCTCCACCCAACTGTTTTCTATTGGCCGGGCGGTTCTGTTGCCGTCAAAAAAAAAACAAAAAATGAAATCCCCATAGGAAAGCATAGCTAGATTCCTATTGGCTATTTCACTTTGCATTACCCTATAGCAAACTAGCTATTGCACCCGCCCTCTGCTGCTGTCAATCACCAGAGGGGACCTGATGGAGAACTGCAGGTCCCCCTCTGCTGATTGACAGCAGCAGTGGGCAGGTGCAATAGCTGGTTTGTTACTGGCTATTGCAAATTGAAATAGCCAATAGGAATCTAGCTATGCATTTCTATGGTGATTTCTTGCTTTTTCTTTTTTTCTTCCGACGGCTCCGATGTCAGAAGAAAAAAAAAAAAACGAGCAGGGAAAGGTTTACTTTGCTCAAATCGAACCTTTCTGGGAGAAAGTGTTTCTCTCCCGGGCGGCCGGGATCCTATTAGACTGGGAGGAATGACAGATGGCGTTCCTGGTTACCAGGTACGCCATCTGTCATTACACACTGAGAACACGGAGAGGCCGCTGTGATATCATAGTGGGCCGGCCGGTTTCTCAGTGTGTAATGACAGCGTCCCTGGTTGACCAGGGACGCTGATCTCTCTGCAAGTGGCCGGAGCCAGCCGTAAGATGACGGCTGGCTCCGCCCAGCTGTCAGAAGCAGGCTGGCCAATGGCCGGCCGCTCGGCCAGCTTCGGCTTTCACCTCGGCTCAGTCGAGCCGAAGCATATGCCTTCAGCTCGACTGAGCCGATTGGCCGACTTCGGAGCTGTACGGGCTATAGTGAATAGTGAATAGCCCGTACAGCAGCCCTTCGGTTCTACTGAACCGAAGGGGTCCTGGGGCCGAAGCTAGCCAAAGGATCAGCCGAAGCTACAGCTAGATCCTTCGGCAGCTTAGTGAATAGACCCCATAGTGTAGTATATATACCATATCTAAAAGAAAGATTCTTCATAAAAATAGACGATGATATAGGAAGTTATCCAGAACTGCAGAATTAGCCCACTTATATTTAGGAGTATTTACTCTCCTATCTGTGTGGCATCTTATTTTTTAAATTAAATTGAAGGAACCTACAGATGGAACATCACTGTGTAAATAAAAACTTCATTCATTTAGAATCAACAGCTTAGTAAGCAGTCCAGTCAGTTTTAGAGACTTATTGAGTTTACAATAGTTTTCCAGCTCTGTAATGAAAAGCATGAGTTGCCTTGCACAGGACCTCAACTATTCTGGTTTCAAAAAGCAGAAAGGAGGCCTTTTTTTACATTAACATTGCTCTGATGAACCCATTGCTATCAATGGTTGATATCCATTTAATGATGCCGTTCCAGAGCCAACATATAATGTTTCTTGCAATTATTGGGACTTTACATTTGACGAGCCACCATGATTGCAGTTATTTAGGGCTGATAGGAGGTTAAGTCAAAGGAAAGAACACTTTCTGAAAAATTCATACATTAAAAAGGTCTAGTTTGGATATGCATTGCTTTTATACTTCACTTTTTTATTTTTAGTGCCTTGTTTAAATGTTTCTTCTTTTATCTTTTAACTATTTATGTTGTCTGTTTTTTTTCTGTTTACTTTTTATTGAGTTCTTCAGTTCTAATTTGTGTTTTCAAGTTTTGTTTTTCCTTTCTGCACTGCCAACAAATCTGATAACCCGGAGCATTTCTTGTTAAATGTTCAAAGGCCTTCCCACTAACAGAATCCGGCTTTCTTTGTGGTTCTAGTACTAATTCTTCATCTAAACATTGTAATAGCTAAATTAAGTATTGCACTCAAGTAGGAGCTGTTCTAACTAGCGGCATTTACAACTTTAAGGATTTCTCTTCAGTTTTCTGTGTATGAGCAGTTTAACTTCTTGTATGTCTGTGGTTGCTGACTTACCTCTCTGATAGTGACAAGCAATTAACATTGTTTTTCTTCTAAGGCAGATGTATAAAGCATATTGTATCCATTAAGGGTAAATCCATTCTCATATAGCTGCTCATAAATTAATCTTAATGGCTTTCAACAGGTTTATTCGGTTAACAATGTATAATACTGAAAATCTTGAGTTGTGTTTTTAAAATATTTCTTTATTTTTTACTGGTGCACTAATGCCATATTCTTTATCCATATGTATTATTCATTCATTGATATATTATTACTGACAAAACAACGCTGCTGCCAAATCCTTATTGATGTTGTTATCTAAGCAGTATGTCAGACAAACCAGTTGCATATTAATTACACCTGGAAGTGTACGGTATTACTGTGTGACCATTTTATTGTCCCCCTGATGATTCAGTGGTATCTGCAGAATATGCATTCATTTTAAAATGTTATCTGGCGTCCCATTCCTGAGCTAATTAGGGGTCTGGCAGGCAATTCTCTAACCTAACAGTGGATGCCAGCATTTAAAGGAACAGGCACAAAGTTTTACAGAAGTCTCACACAATTACCACTTCTGGTAAAATAGAGGTAGTCTAGACTTATTTGGTCAGTAGTCTTTGGATGGACAGGTTACCATATGATACCTTCTTCTGGCAGCTGCTACATATTTGCTAACCACTGGCAGTCACCTAGAGGACTGTTTTGGTAACTTGAGAAGCACGAGTCCATCTGATAAAATGAGCAATTTAGACTTCCTCAGAATTTCCAGAAATATACAGGTGCCATGGCCTGAGGTGAGTTCTGTAAAGTATCATGGAAAAAGTATAGTATTATGAAAAACATTACCGTGTGTACATTTCTAAAACATTAATGGTTTTTCATGTTGTGGCATTTTTTGTTAAATGTCTAAAAGAAAGAGTACATTCCTTTTTGCTTTCTGACATTCATCAGAATTATGTAATTGTGCAGTGCTTTTTCTAACCTTGACTTTCTGTAATCGTATCACAGCTGTAAAAATCTTATTAGCATAAATAAACATTGCTCTGAGCACAGGTTTTCTAACGCAGGAAAGTAGAAGAAATTGCAATCCATACTGGACTAGAAATTCACAGTGGAAAGGTTCTGTCCTAGCACAGTTTGTATATTTCATATAGTTTTGTATAGTTTGTGTATATTTTGCCTGATTTTGTGTTCTACCATAGAAAACAAACGGCATGCAAAAGAACACCAATCAATTAAACTTCACACTCCCTCTTATACTATATTGAAGTAAACAGCCCATACTTATCACAAGCAGTAATTGCCCATATGTATGTTATAGCTGTCTCTTAATTTTATTTTTAAGTTCATCATTTATCCTCTCCAAGTTGTTTTCCATCCAGACTGACACAAGGATTAATAGAAGGGAGAATGAGAACAGAATGCAAATGATCCTATTTAGATAAACACATTTAATGAGCTGTCACTATTTTGAAGAACCATGACTTATACTGAGTTGCAGAGATATGTCTTGAAAATTGGCATCTGTTTATTTTTACAGGTGTAAGGTGGGAAGTACAGTCGGGAGAATCAAATCAAATGGTGCATATGAATGTGCTGATCACTTGCGTCCTGGCTGCATTTGTTCTTGGAGCTTTTATTGCAGGAGTTGTCGTCTACTGCTACAGGGAAATGTTTGTACGGAAAACCAGAAAAATACACAAGGATGCCGAGTCTGCCCAGTCCTGTACTGATTCCAGTGGAAGCTTTGCCAAACTTAATGGTTTGTTTGACAGCCCTGTTAAGGAATACCAACAAAGCATTGATTCACCTAAACACTATACTAATATACTAACTAGTAGAAAGGAACTACCACCCAATGGCGAAACCAAGGCCATCATGATGGATGTTCAAGGGCAGCCACCAGAACTAGCTGCACTTCCAACCCCTGAATCTACACCAGTGCTGCAGCAAAAGAGCTTACAGCCCATCAAGAACCAGTGGGAAAAGGCTCAAAACAATTTGAATATTTCACGTAAAGAAACACCTCTTAAGAGTCCACAGTTTTTCCCTTCAAGCCCTCCCCCTCACTCTCCTCTTGCTCATGGACAGATCCCAAGTGCTGTTGTTCTTCCAAATGCCACCCATGATTACAATACTTCCTTTTCTAATTCCAATGCACACAAATCGGACAAAAAGCTTCACAATATTGAGCATTCTTTGGTTAAACAGCCAAGTAAAAGAGACCATCGACGTTCTGTAGATTCCAGAAATACTCTGAATGACTTTCTAAAACATTTGAATGAATCTGGGGGGAATCCCAAAGCTATAATGGCAGACATTCAAGTAGCTCATCAGAATACCCACCAGACTCCACATCAGACACTAATGCTTGACACTATGGGGAACATGTCTGAAATTCCACCTAAAGTTCCAAATAGGGAGGCATCCTTGTACTCTCCCTCTTCAACTCTTCCACGAAATAGCCCAACAAAACGGGTGGATGTGCCTTCTACCCCGAATGGACAAATGTCATCTTTAGAATCACAAAGAAGTTACCATAAAAACTCTTCACAGAGGCATTCAATATCAGCAATGCCCAAAACTATGAACTCACCAAACGGTGTCTTGATTTCGAGACAACCTAGTGTTAATCGAGGCGGATATATGCCTCCAAGTCCTAACCCAAGGATGGACTACATGCAAGGAACACCTGTTATAGTTCATCAACAGACTTCCTTATCACGGCAAAGCAGCTATACAGGGCATGGAACTCTCCCTCGTATGGGAATAAAGAGGACAACTTCCATAAAGCCTGATGTACCACCAAAACCTTCATTTGCCCCACAAACTACAACAGTTAGACAGCTAAATAAGTATAGCTACTGAGACCTGTCATCTTGTTTAAAATGTGTATGGTTATAACACATTGTGTTGTAAAAGAACCTGTATGGCAGAGAGAAGCTTGCTTGCCGAACCAGTCCCCACATGAGAGACCAAAGAAATGGTCTTTAGTTTGGTAACATTAGGTTTTGCCAAGACACGGGAACTGCAAACTATGCTTGTAATGAACAAAACAGAGGAAAGTGCTGGTCATTTTGCTTCTTTTGTTGGGAGATACAGTAAGTGGACATGTAGCACAGTCGGGGCTACCTTGCAATTACAAAAACCTGATACAGTACTAAGAATTGAAATATATACTTGAAAAAAAAAACGGGCTTTCATTTCAAACTGCCGCTCTGTGTAGTCATCCCATTAAATGTGAACATATCAATACATATGCATTCACCTTGCCTCTTGCACAAGAGTCAGAAAATCACCTTAGTTAAAGTCTGCATTTTTAGGTGATGTACCTTTTATTATTTGAAGTCCAATACATATTGTTAGTCATCTGTAGCATCTCTGTATGTCATAAATACTCCTGATGTGTGCTTGTTTGGTATGTGTGTTTTAGCCCCTCATACACACATACTTGTGCAAGTTAGGTTTCTCATTGCAATTTCTATGCTGTGCAACTGTTTACAATGAGGATGACGAGACAAACAGAGCACTTCCTTCCACTAGTATTCTACTGAGAGAGCATCAGAGGGTTAACATCCATCTCTCTCCAGCTTTCCAGATAAGTGACTTGGCTGAACAAGTCACCTTGTGCAAGAATGTAAAGATTTTTTAGAATTGTTATGCTGCTATTAAAAAATATTGTGTAATTCACTGGACATGCAAGGGAGAATCTGCATTTATGTATATTCATGCTTGTTTACTCTTGGCATCAGTTCATAGCTGGGTGTACCTAGCCACTGTGAACCTCATTGATTAAAGCTGGTGTTGAAGGAAACTCACAATGGCTAGTGTACTAGCAAATCTGTTTTTGTACTTACATCAATTAAAATGCAAGCCTCCTTTAATGGAACTACTAGCTGTTCAGCACAAAAGATTTAGGAACTTGAGTGGGGGGGGGGGGGAGAATTGCAAGGGCCCAGGA